CGCCTGCACTCTCACCAGCGCACTGCACAGACAGATTACCACTCTTGCCCAACAGATTACTACTGACTGACGGGAAGCGAGAAGCTTGAAGGGTAAGAAAGTGTTGTCGCCGTGTGAATAGGTTGCTCATGGCTGAGGGATCGCGAGCCACGCGAGAAGCCTTGACGCAGAGGGGACTCGCTTATCACACTGAATGGTTCTTGCCTGGTCTGCCCGGCCCAGCCCAGCCCAAGCGGAGTGTTTGGTGTGAACCATTAAGGCGCAGCTCCGGATCGACATTATGTGGAGGCGAGAGAGGAGGAGACCTGGTTTATGCGTTTGTGGGCTTGGCCTCCCACGTATTAGATGAGTATATTGTGAACTACATACAAAGGGGCTGGGGAGATAGCCTTGCAGCTTAAGTGCCTGCCTGGTAAAGTACAAGGTTGTGAGATTGATCCCTAGTAAGAGTAAATAAATCAATCCTAAAATGTATACAGAAGTACAGAAAGTATATGCTAAGGAGATGGAGCTTATGAATAATGAAGAGGTGAAATAATCATGCACAGTTGACATTCTTTGAGTTGGGAGAGTGGAAGGATCACTTAGCTTCAGGTAAAGCATGCACTGGGAAGCCACTCCACAGCAGTGAGGCTGAGAAGACAGTGTGTCCCACCATGGGACCCGCAGCCACCAGGCAAGGCTGGGCACTGTCCTCTCCACTGAGACAAAACAGAACCAGCTACTGCACCCGTATCTTCTATTTTTTTCTTCCTCAGATACCACTTGAAAGATGTCATTGTAGGGAAGATATACTTCCTGCTGGTCAGAATCAAAATCAAGCACATGGAGATAGACATCATCAAACGGGAAACCACAGGCACTGGCCCCAATGTGTACCACGAGAATGACACCATAGCGAAGTACGAGATCATGGATGGGGCGCCAGTGCGTGGTGAGTGTCCTGGTGCAAGGCCTTGGCCCTGCCCTTTTGATCCCAGCCCTGTACAGAATTTGAAAGGACTTGCAAGACATATTAAAATGAGATGTCCTCTTAACCTATGGTTTCTTAATCTGAAGTGTGCACCATGGGTATCAATAAGAAGAACAAGGCGGAGTTTGCAAATTTCAGCTCCCACCCATCTTCCTCCATGTTGACCTCAGCTGCTGACAGTGAACATTCCACTAATGTTTCCTGTTGACATTCCTGACATTCTTTGTGGCTTGAGCCAAGAAGTTCCTGGATGGTAGTTATTCTTACTTAGTTCTACTGCTGATAAAATTTATTGATTTATTTATTTTATGGCATGGAGGGTTGAACCCAAGGCCCCTTGTGTGATAGACAAGCACTCACCGCTGCACTATCAGTCTAGCCCGTGAAGTCATTCTCTCTGTGACTCATTCACTGAGCACTACTACTAGGCTGAACCTCACGGCCAGGCCCTGCAGAGCACACTGGGCACCAGTGGCAGTGGTTCTCCCTCACTCCACAGAGCTCATCCTGCACTGGGGTGAGTGGTTTTGAAAGCACTTTGATACTTGGGTATCTGCCTGATTATTTAGGAGTTGCAATCACTCACATTCCTCTTTGTCTCCAGCAATCAAGGATAAAGACTGTCTCCCCTCACTTTGAAGTGCGTGATGCTTCTGAGGTAGTATTCAGTGTATTCTCAGATTGCTCCATGTGGAGGAAGAGTGTCACAGATTTAGTGTCCCACAAAGAGCCCTCAGGTTCTTCGGTGTTACTGTGTCAGCCCCTTGGGGCATTGGGACTGAGCTCTCCAGATACTCTGATTTTTTTTTTTTTTTTTTTTAATTTAAAAGTAGACAACTTTAGTATCGCTTACACCTATGAAATGGAGCATTAGGACACACAGCAGATAATTAAAAGATCTTTTATATTTAGCTTTTAGACTACATTATGGGTCTGTCCTGTCTCAGCAGAATTAGTTCCCTAGTTTTGTTCCTAAGGCACGGTGTTGAGAGCTGGAAGGACCTAAAATGTTGTGCAGTGGGATTCTGTAATTTTCCACATGAGAAAATTAAACTCCCGAGAAAGCAACAGATTTCCTCAGAAGCCATCAAGCTATTAGAGCAGAACAAGGACCAAGATGAGGGCTGCCTCCCAGACCGCTGCACCATGAGCACGGGGCTCTATTCTTGGGTGCATACTGCCCAGACTGAGGGAGGTGGCACTGCCTCTGCTGGGTGGCATGGTGAAGGAGCTGGGGTTTGGCAGCTGACTCTTGGAAATCAGAATATGCTGAGTAACTTCCTTGCACCAGTCACACTTAGCTGTTCCTCACTTCCTTTCTGGACGGGAAGGTAAGAGGACTTTGGGAAGGATGAAACAAAACTGGGAGTCATAGTGTTGCCCTGGGCAGCAGAATGCAACTTCCCCAAAGGCAGAAGCATTTGCTTACTGTTTTGTGTCATGCCCAGCTGGAATCTCACTTGCTGTCCTCAGAGGGACATGGTACGAAGCACAGTCGTCACTTTGTTCCTTGGCCTGATTCCACCTCACCTCTTACAGGAGAGTCCATCCCAATCCGGCTCTTCCTGGCAGGGTACGAGCTCACACCCACGATGCGAGACATAAACAAGAAGTTCTCTGTGCGCTATTACCTCAACCTAGTGCTGATTGACGAGGAGGAACGGCGCTACTTCAAGCAACAGGTGAGGTGCCTCCTCCAGGCCCCTGGATACCCTGGGACGGAATAGAAGGGTCATCATTCCCGTGCGGGGTCTGGCTCTATAGGGAGTGCTCCTAAGTCTCTATACTACTTGTTATTTTACCAAGAAGCGGATGCATTAGGTTCCCTAGAATCCCACAGTGGGAATGAGAGTTCCCACTTAATACCCAGAGTGTGCTTACTTTATCAAGCCAGCCTCCTACAGGCACCTGCCCTCAGCGCCACAGCAGGAATGTGAGGTACTGGCACCCACTGCTTCAGTGAGCTAAACAGTGGAGGTTCTTACACAAGACTCCTTGGGACAGAAGCGGAAGGCTCTGGAAAACTTTGGGCCTCCCTGTCAGGTGTCACATTGTTCCCTCTCCTAATTCTGCAGGAAGTGGTGTTATGGCGGAAGGGTGACATTGTGCGGAAGAGCATGTCGCACCAGGCAGCCATCGCCTCGCAGCGCTTCGAGGGCACAGCCTCCCTGGGGGAGGTGCGGACCCCCAGCCAGCTCTCTGACACCAACAGCAGGCAGTAGGCCCCTGGGCCAAGAAGCTGTGGGGCTTTACCCCAGCACCCCCATCTACCAAACACCAGTGGCTGAGGGAGAGGAAGGATGGTGTGAGGCTCAGCTGACCGTTACTTGCAACCTGAAAACAAATCATGTTTTGGACTTATAAATTCTTTTCTCTGAAGAACTGAAGGGGCTTAGGTTGGGCAGCAGTCTCCTTGGCATTCTGCGGCCGATGTGAGGCTGGGGAGAGGAAGCACTGTGGAAGCTAGTCTCTCTCTGGGGAGGAAGAGTCCTCCTCATGGGCTGCTTTTTGTGTCTGGGAGGCCAGCCAGGAGCACACAGCTTTGGCTGCTGGCTCTGGGTTTCCTGACACAGGGACTGAGGACATCCCTGGGATTCAGAGCTGCCAGCAGGGCCCTGGGTAGTGGTGTCTTTTATTCCCCTTGACTGTCCCTGAGGTGGTGGCAAAAGGAGAGGGCCCTTCCTAAGTGGGGTGGGGTACCTCAAGATCAGGAAGCTACCTCTCTGGGAGTCCCAGACGTGGTGCTTTGGAGTTTCCACAGCCATCTTCTCTCTGGCCTGTTATTGCTGGGACCCAGGTGCCTGCCTTCCCCACCTGCTCTGGCTTGTCACGAACATCCCCAGGACAGAAGCTGATGGAACAGCCTGGGGCTGTCTCATCCAAGACAGTTACCTCTGTCCAGAGGAGCCCTTGGGTCTGTACGTGGATGGCAGGAGGCTGAGCCAGGCCCACTGAGGACTCAAACATGGCAACTGTCTGCCTTTAAGTGTGACTCCACTTGGCAGTCTGAGGTGCAGGACCTTCTAGGGTGTTACTATGGTAACCCAGCCAGCTCCAAACAGGAGCGTCTGTTCCCTTCATTCTAGGAATGGGCAAGGAGTCTTTTCCTCTCTAAGGCTGGACCCTCTCCACTCCTTGTCCCCCATTTAATTTCTGGGAATCAGGGCTTTGTTTTAAGCTCTTGGAAATTCTGTTCTTACCCTTAGCTTAAGCCCCTTCACTCTCTACCAAAAGTTAAAGGACGGAGGTGAAAACCCCAGCAGGTGATTTTGTTACCACAACTTCAGAATAATTTTGGTTGCCAAATTACATCATCATCTTCAGCAATTCACTCAACTACGTTTAGGATCTTTTTTTGTTTAAAAAACACAAATATGAAAACTTCTGTGGATGTTATTACACAAGAAAAGTTTTCCCTTGTTGTTCTGTGTTTGGGCCTAAAGTAGTAAAAGTATTTACCATCTTTTCTGCCTCATCTGGGTGACCAAGAATTTCTCTATTCTTCCTTCCTTTTATAAAAAAGACCAGTCGTATCCCACTGGCCAATAAAATACAGTATCTGGTCCTCTTGAGTTTTTGGTAATTCGGAAAGTAGAGGCATTGGTTCCTGTCTCCTGTTTTTGTGTAGAAAAAAAAAAAAAAAAACCTCCTCTTTTCATCAGAAATTAGGACAAGCTTGGGCCTTGCCTGGGCCAGGTCCCAATCGGTGAGACTGGAGGGAAAGACACTTGGTGGGGGGACGTGTGCAGCTGACTGGCAGCAGCAAGACCAAGGTGAACTTGCACCCCACACCAGACCTGGAGTTCAAGTGCGACACATAATCCCCATGGAGCAGGGTCAGCCACCCAGCGGCCCTTGGGTTACCAGGGCTGGGGCTGAGGCATCCAAGAAAGGAGGTTGTGTCCTTGCTTTTTTCGTTCGGAGAGAACAGGCTCTGGTGTGCGTCCGTTTAGCAGGTGGTATTCTAACTAGAAAGCATGTCAGTCCTCTGCCTCCCAACTGACAACACAAACTCATTTCTACCTTTCCTAACATTTTAACCTTTGTTCTGGGAAAACTAGAAGATAGAATTTGCTTTATCTCAGGAGCTGTGAACAAGCCAGGTCTTGTTTTCTGACTCTACTCGTATTCTCTGTCAACTGTGAAAGTGAGGGGAGATTCCTGTCCCCCTTCCTTAAGGTCCCCAGACCTGGGAGCTTGTTAGGTACTAAACCAAGCAGTGCAACTTGTAATTAAGCAGCTGCAGTGTTTACATGTTTCTTAACGTGTTGTCTTTTCAATGGCTGTATTTTAAAAGACATCTGTTTTAATGGTCTAATTAAAGGACGCCCCGTGGCTTTGGGGGCATCATGCCCACGGCTGCCAGGTTCTGTGGTCTCTTCTGTCTCAGCACTTTCCCACCTCTGATGCTCAGGGGAAGGCAGCACCTGCCATGAGGCTACCGCGGCCCTGCCGAGGAGACGGCACCGAAGAGCAAGCGCAAGCGTAACCAACTGCGTACGCAAGTGCATGGCTAAGGAGTACACGCAGGTTTTCCCCATCTGTCACCTTGTCCTGCAGCATTCATGGCTTCACCTCAATTCTGTGGGGCCCAGAGGACTGAGGGGCAGGTAAGAAAGGCTGGTATGGAGAAACCCAAAGTTGGTTCCAGTGCGTGTTATGGCTACTAGCAGGTAAGGTGCCCGAATCTTCAAGCAGCAAAAGAAGCCAGCTTGAAGGGAACAGAGCTTCAGGGGCATTTGCCACCATACCCAATGCAGTTTTAAAAGAGATACTTTCCAGCTTCTAATATTAAATCTTTTATTGAAAAAAGTACTCAAAACCACCTAGGTAAACAGTCCCCAGCGACGTTACACGCAAGCTTTCTTTTGTCCTCTAAAAGGCTGTCTCTTTGGAGTACTGGCTTGTCTTCAGCAAGAGTGCCTCTGTTAACTTGGTTCCTTATCTTCCAGGCTCAAAATAAAATCAAACTCTTCTACCAACAAGGGAAGAAAAAAGAATTAGGTGTTATGTGTCCTTTTGCACAGAAGTTAATACCTGGCACTTGTAGGTACTCTACATGTTACAGAACAGAAGTTACTTATTCGTAAGTCAAGAGTATCTTACCAAGTACCAAGCACTGCTAGGCACTGGCCCACAGTAGCAGGCAGCTCAGGGTACCTGCCCCCACCTCGGGTGTGGAAGGTAAGGAAGCTTACTTAGCTTTAACGAGTTTAATCAAGTAGTGAGTGTGAACACACAAGGTCCTTTCTGGTATGTGTATGATGGCAAGAGGGCCCACTCTTACCTTGTGTAAGGGACTGAACTGACAGTCTCTGACGAGTGAAGAGAGCCATGTTTTTCAAGGGACCACCAGAAGCTTTGTGAGCTTGGTGGTAGGTTTTAAGCTCAGCCAGGGAGATGAAACGCTTCATTATCCGAACAAACTGTACATCCACCTGTGTGATGACAGAGCATGGCACACAAGGATGTGTCCCGCCAGACTGCCACCACCTAAGAGCCAGGTCTGCTACACTGTTCGGCTTGGCCTCCTGCTTTAACTTCCGGAGTAGCCACAACTGCAGCATGTGCGATTCTGCTGGTCTGCAGTGTTGTTGCTCACAGGAGGCTGCCGCGAGCAGGGCTGCCAGTACTGTTTCCATCTCCAGAAATCACCAAAACCTCACTGACTCAGAGCTGTGCTACGTCCCTGACCTCCTACCACCCAGACCCCTTTTCTCCCTTTTTATATTGCCTTTTGATCTAGGAAGAATAGACACTCTTTACCATGAACCACTTGGGGCTGTCCTCTTTGCTGGATGGATCATAATAGGGATTGTTTTTCTGAAACTGTGTGTGGTCTGGGTAAGCCTCCTTTACAATCTGAAATCAAACCGAAAATCTCCAGTCATTTGCCTGCAGTCAGCTCTCCTAACCTTGGATGGCTTATCAATTTTTTTTTTTTGTATTTTAGGGAAGGGTCTACAGGGTGTTCAGTGACTCACTACTAGACTAGACTCATAGTGATCCGCCTGTTTACAGCCTCCCAAGGGCTGGGATTATAGGCACGCGCCACCATGTCCAGTCTCAATTGCCGGCTCAGTGTGCCCTGGGGGCGGGGCCAGCACTTATCAGTGGATGTTAATCTGCTCTGTAGTCAATCTAACACATCTGACTTTTCACCCTGCACAGTCTTACCCCATCAGACTTGCTGCAGAGCCAATCTGGGCTTAAGATATCTGGAAACACAATAGCATGGGCAAGCATAGTTAGGAAATCAACTCTTGTTTTTTATAAAAGTATTAGAAGCATGTTCTGAAACTAAAGGCTGAAAGTTGTTATTACTGGCACCCCTAGTTTTCTCAACTATACCATTAATAATTTTATCCTAATAGCTTTTGGCTTGAAGGAACTACTATCAGGCCTAGTTCTGAATGAGAGACCAAGACTTAGAAATGAAGAACAGTATTATGCCAGGGGCCTGAAGTGAAAGGCTGCCTTACCTAGTTCTCATCATATAGGAAGGGGACAGGGCCGTCCATCTATTTGGTGATGGGGTGTGGGTGGAGAGTATTTCTTTTTTGTTGTCTCTTTAAGTTACATTCCTTTAAGTTTCCATGAATAAATCTTCCTGGAAAGGGATTCAGACCAAACCTGTCCTAACCTTCGTAAGTCCTGCGATGCCTGGCTCTTTGCAGTTGCTATGGTAGAAGAAGGCTTCATCGTCCAGCTTCATAGCTTTAAGGAAGTTCCGAGCCTGTCTCAGGAGAACAACAAGAATCTCAAGGCCTAAGAGAGTCTTATCTCCTTTGCCAAGCCACCCAGACATACAGCAGTGCATTGGCCAGAACCAGGCCAGGTACAGACTTCCTTCAGTCATGTTCAGGTCAGGGCTGTTAGTGAAGAGGTTCTGAGACTGAGTAGATCATGGAGGAAAGTGGGCATTTACCTCATCCCAGGACTCAGGGACTCTGCTCCCATCCGCTTACCTGGTAGTTTCGGACACCATCCCAGCAGGCTATCTGCTCGGGCTGTGCTTTGAGGTCCTCAATGCTGAACTGGGTACAAAGGGATAAAGTCATTCACTCAACCAGTGACTTTGGCCAGTTGGTAAGCATACAGTTGTCACCTCCCTAACGGAAGCACCATAGCTATACTGGGAATCTGTGGTTTACTGGGAAGTTTTCCATGTAGTTGCTTGTTACATCAACATAAGCCTTATGCTATCTTATTTTTATGAAGAGCATTAGTTATAATAGATAATTCACATGATAAAGTAATATGCTGGTTTCTTGCATTTTACTTGTTAAAATATTATACATATTTCTACAAGATTTCTACTTACATTTTCTCCAGGCTACTAACATTGGTATGCATTCCCTGGATATGTAAAAATTGCTGGCAGAGTGACAGCAAGCAGCACAGCAAACGATAAAAGCAAGCTAAGCATGAGGTTGGCAAGTTAGAGCCAACAGGCCAAAGCTAGCCCTTTGCCTGCTTTTATAATAAAGTTTTACTTGAGCACAACTACTCCTGTTTTTTTACAACCACCTTCTTACTACACAAGCAGAATTGCAATGGACTGGGACTCAGAAGCCTACAATAGCATTTCACTCTGTCCCTTTACAAAGTTTGCCAACCCGTGCCAGAAAAAGATATAAACACGTCCATTTGAAACCTGATTTGCTCTGAAATGTACCCACATATAAAAAGTTTTGAAGTGGTTGGGGAGATAGCTCGGTGGTCTGAGCACCTGCCTGGCAAGTGGAAGGACCTGGGTTCAGTCCTCAGTACTGCATGCTGTACAGGCCGCACACTGGGCTGGCCACCAAAACCAGGCATGATGGCATACTTTTGTAATCCCAGTGCTGGGGAGGGTGAGACAGGAGGATCACTATAAGTCTGAGCTGTGTAGTGAGATCCTGTACCAAATCAATCAATCAATAAAGATCTTTAAAAAAAAAGTTTTGCATTTGGATTTCAAGTTTTTTTATTAGGGATGCTAAATCTCTAAAATCTATGCAAATATTCCACAATGTAAAGGTCTGAAGAGAAGGGCTATATATGCAACTCACAGTGGGTCATAAATCCAGCTGATTTTATTAATTTTTACCGTTCTCTATCCAGAAGGAAAAAGCTGATAGTGCAATCCTATGGTTACCTTTCAGTTTCTTAAAAAATAGCACAAAAGGGTCAGAGACAAGCACTGTTACCTTCACATCAACACCTTTTTCTAGTCGGCTTTCGGGCTCTGACTTCATCAGCCAGTAGTTCTTTAGATTCTGTCCACAGTTTTTTAGGTCTGGAGTCACCTGTGGACTGGAGTTCTCCTTGTGACCTGATGTCTCATCTGAGTTCTTAGTTTTAGTGCGTTTTACTGATAGCCCCTTCTTGTCTGCAAAAGGAAAAGGAAAAGACCTATCATGTTTGCTAGAGGCAATGCTTTCTTACAGACAGGCTCTTTGGCATCATGCCTAGCTTCAAATCCTGGGTCCTGCCAAGTACTAATTATAGCTATATAAAACTTCAGGTTATCAGTAAAAATGAGACCAGAATACCTGCCTTACAGGCTATCTTCTAAGTAATCTGTTTAGTAAGGTAAGAACATCTTGTGGGTTAAGAATAAAGCACGCTGGGAGTGGTCAATGTCTCCTCTCACTTTCTCTTCTGTGCTCTTATTCAGGTTATCTTTTTACACTGAGGAACTGAATACTTGAGAGTTGTTTTGGAGATAAAATGAGAATATAAACAGTTTAGAAAATGCTTGTCTGAATAATGAATAGGAAACATTAGCTATTATCATCTTGGACTTCTTGCCCTCTTGTTTACTGTACTTCATGCTTTCACCAGAAGATGCTAAGACAAGTTGGAAAAACAAGTTCATCCAGGACCTTGTAGATATAAAACTGGATTTCATCCTAAGACGATTAGAGAAAAATATGTCTGGAATGTAGTGAGCACTTAATAGCCAACAGTTGTTAGGTTCATGATATGTGACAGGCTCTAAACCGCGCTATTTTAACTCTAACTTGGTTAATGTACACAACTTTGGAGAGTTTTGTCCTTTAGCTGGAAAATATGTCCCAGATTACAATCTGGCAATGGCAGGATCAAGGCACAAGGTCAGGACTTGTGACTTGGGTCTGTCTCCACACTTATCCACTGCACTCACGAATGCCTCGGACTTTAGGTTTCTACGTCACTTGGCATTAAATGTCATTTATGATGTGCAATGCTTTGAGCTCAGCATCCTTTTCTTGCCCATTTTTTTCGTGTCAGTCTGTTAAGAGTTAATAGGCATACTACAAATATTGTTATTAAACGATCACGATGTGTTGCAATTAATTTGGAGCCCTCCTCATTCCTAAAAGACATACCCACACTGCATTCCTACTGCTCTGTTCCTGCTCTTCATCCATTTAAAATGACATCACGTTTTCAGAGTACTACAGGTTGGCCTGTGGAAAGCTTTCCTGTTCAGGATTGAGCTCCAATCCCTTGCGGTTCTCACTGCCTTCCCTGTGATTCCTCCCTCCTCTGGTACCTCTGACTATTCCGTCTCCAGGATCCTTTTACACCTGCTTTCAATGTCTCTTAAGAGATGGAATGCTGTGTTTTCACCTTTCAGTTAATTATTCGTTTAACAATTACTTAACAGATCCATAAAACAAAAGCATCGAATGAGGTATCACCTGATGTTGTATAATTGTGTAATGTTTAAATCGCTGTAAACATACCCCCGTGTATCCTTTTTAAATGCCAAAATCATTCAAAACCTTTTTTTGAAATACGGTAGTTTCGATAGCCATCCTGATGAGCACATCATAACTTTCTGTCTTTATCAACTTGGTACCCACTGATCAACCTTTCTGCATCCCTGCCTGTCCCCTGAACACCCTGGTCTCTGTGCTCCGAGAATACGTGAGATCAAGAGGCAGTCACCGTTTTGTGCCTGGCTAACAATCTCCGGTTGCATCCGCGTTGCCGAGAGGGAACTATACGCTCCTGTATATTCTTTTACCTCCGTAAGGGTGGCGCCTTGGCGTGAACGTCCTTGGCGCTTAACAGCTCTTGCTGGAGGGACAAGGAAGCGGGAGACCGGGCAGAACCTTAGCGGGAAGAGCAAGGAGGGTGGAGGGAACGAGGCTCGCACTCCTCACGGGAGAGCTCCGCGGGCTTTCACCCCGGCGGGGCAGGCACAGCACGCCAAGGGCCTGGGGCGGCTCACCTGGGCCAGCGGCCCCCGCCAGCCTTTTCTGGGGTCTCGGCATGGCGTCTGCAGCGCTCGGGGTGGACGATTCTGGAATCTTCAGGAGATACACGAAGCACGTCTACCGCACTCCCAATCCCGCGTGGAGCGTGCTGGAGGAGAGCAAGGACGGCCAGAGAGCGGTTCAGCTTTGAAAGAAGAGACAACGGCGCCGAAACCACCCACGCGTCCCTCCTGCGCCCGGGGCCACGCCTCCTCTCGAGCCTGCCCTAAGCCCGCTCCACCGGTTGCACCTTTGGGTCTCACGCGCTGGCAACTCTCCCAGCGCCGGAGCCAGGCCCTCGGCCCGGGAACCGCGCGAGGCCTGACTGCGGCGCCGCGCTGGGATCTCTGGGAATTGTAGTTCCCGCGCACACGCAGCTGCCTGAGTCAGGCAGAGGTCTTGGGGAGCGTGGGCTCCCAGAGTGCCGCGGGGCGGGGCGCTCCCAGGGTGCCGCGGGGCGGGGCGCGTGGCGCCTGCTGCAGGTACTCTGGACGCGGGTCTCGCTCGCGCCGACGCCGCCATGTGGTGCGGCTACGGGCGCCTCAGGGTACGCTTCAGCTGTCTGTGCGGCCGCGCCTGGACCCGCACCCAGGCCCGCCGCCCGCACTGGACCGCCGGCATCGACCGTAAGGACCGCTCTGCGCGCGCGTGCCGGGCGGAGCGGGCGTCCGGGGCGAGGGCGAGGGCGGGCGCGGGCGAGGGCGCTCTTCCCCGCCGGGTCGGCCCGCTCCGGCCCGGCACCCCGGACTGTCCTGGCACGCGGTTGCCCGCTTCCGACCCACCTGCGGTGACCGAGGGCCGGCGAGGAGCTTGTGGCGTTCTTGTTTGTATATTAAAATTGCTACAGGTTCTAAAGATGGAGTGGAAGGAGCGGCGCGGTTAGTGATAAGGCTCGGGTAGGACAAAAAATTGGTAACTTAACATCTGCGGACGTGAAGCGTAGGGTTGAATCTCGTAGGGGAGGAATAGCGCGATTGGGGATTTCTGTCAGACTAAAGCAGGATGTTTCTAGGCGCTAGACAAATAAATTGTATCGGGAAGTGATTGCCACTCGGCGGGACCGATGCCCAGCCAGTTCGTGACTTCTCTATCGGTCACCTTCTATTTTCCTTCTGAAATACTTTTTTTTTTTTTTTTAATACATGATGCTTTTCTTTATGGAGAATGAGCCCTTTAGACTGACAACAGAGTTGTAGCACACAGGACTGCAGTACTGTTTTCTTCTCATGTATTAAAGCACCTTCAGAGATGCTGCCCTGTTCTGGTACTTAGAATTTGGTAAGGAAAAAGAAAGAGAGAAAGAGGAAGATGCTGTCTTGGCAACGAATGACTTAGGTATGCGTTGTTTCCCACAGCTGATGGTGTGACTTCAGCCGTGCAGACACTCGCACTTAAGATTTTACATTCTTTGAAGTTTTATCTCAATTTATATGTGACTTTGGAATGGCCTGAGAATTTGTGAAACATATGATAGTCCTTCACTATTTCACAGCTCAACTTTTGTGGACTCACTGTTTTGCGGGTATTCAAATAATATTAATCTAAATTATTTATTGCTCATTGTTTGCTGTATTGCGGGATTTTGCAGTATTGTAGAGTATACATGTTGTTAAAACTACGTAGGTTTATGCGTTTAGAAAATGGTTTAAGAGGGCCGGGGAGATGGCTCAGGGGAATAAGAACTTCCCTGGCAAGCACAAGAGCCTGAGTTCAAT